GTGAGCCTGAGAGAGGGAAAGAGAGAGGAAAGAAAGAGAGAGAGAAAGAGAGAAGGAAGAAGAGAAAGAGAAAAGGGAAAGAAAGAAAAAGGGACAAAGAAAGAGGGGGGATGGAAGGACGGGACAGAAAGAAAAAGAAATAAAGAAGGAGGGAGGGAGGAGAAAGATAATGAGATATCTATTCTAGTCCAATCATCTGCTCCAGCAGGGTTAGAAGGGAGTGTGTGTGTGTGTGTGTGTTCTCCTTGCAATTTACCAGTACATTTTGGTTTTGCCTTTTTCAGAATTGTCACTGTAATACATTGGGGAAAAGTAATTTTTTAGGGTGGAGATCTGGTCCAATGGATCCTGTTTAAAGCCTCAACAAAATGTGAGGGCTTCCTGATAGTCTTGGCCATGTTTCGTCCACAAAATCTTTAATTAATAGAAGCCAAAGATGTTTCAATGTGCTGGCAAAGATGCCGGCAAAGATGTTTCAATGTGGAAAAGGGCCTCTAAACTAGGCCTCATTTCAATATGATGCATCAGCGCTCTCTCGCTCTCGCTCTCTCTCCCCTTCATCCCTCCATCCCCCCTTTCTTTGTCCCTTTTTCTTTCTTTCCCTTTTCTCTTTCTTTTCTTCCTTCTCTCTTTCTCTCTTTTCTCTCTCTCTCCTTCCCTCTCCCAGGCTCACCCCATTGACTTGGTGCACCGCTCCTCTCGGACTTGCTTGGGCAGGTCCCTCCAGTGCAGTGGGCTCAATGGGGTGGACCTGCGGGACCGGCACCTAGAACGCAGCAGTGCAGGCAGTTTGAAAAGTAGAGCAAAGCCAGAGGTCGGTAATTTTTGCTGCAAAGAATCACAAAAGCTTCTGGGTTGTGCACAAGAAGGGACACACATGTCAATGCAATTCAGCAACATAAAATAAAGACATGCAACTAAAACAAATCAACAAGAATCGGCAAAGCATCTCTGATTAGATTTTATTCACTACTAGAATCTAATCAGAGATGCTTTGCCGATTCCAGTCCAATGACCTGCTCCAGCAGGGTTAGAAGGGAGTGTGTGTGCATGTGTGTGCATGGCTGTCAAAATTCCAAAAACAGGTCAAGTAGTTCTGGGGAGGCCAGTCATAAATTAGAACACTTGCTAAGCAACCGGCCATTAAGTGAGGACCACTTGTATTGGGTTTACCAGCCACCAAACCACACTCACCCAGTCACGTGACCAGCAAGCCACACCACCAATCAGGTGACCAGCAAACCACACCCTCAAATTAGGCCATGTCCACAGAAATTTGAATCCCACCTGTGGGTGGGTGGCATTGAGGATGAGTTTGTAGCACCAAGGGGGCGGTGGACTGAAAAAGTTTGGGAACCACTGTTTTAATGTGACAAAAGAGCTACATATTTTATCAACTGAGTTTTTACATTACATTAAGCATAACAGCTTTATTTGACTTTGGTGTTCTGTAATTTTAGAGGTCAGTAAGGCTTGCCATTTTACATCTTATACAAACCCAACTGTTCTGATTTATTCAACAATGCTTAAAACATGGGTTAGCCTGTTGTATGACTCATTGTTGAATGATACCATGTTCAAGCAGAAATTGTATGAAGATCAACTAGGCCCGGACTCAGCATCTCAAGCAGAATTGTTCTGCTTGATTGAATTGCTCCCATTTTGAGAATCTAAACTTACATATTTAACAGTCAAATTATTTTCTGTATTCCATATCATAATAACTGTTCTTAGCAAAAGATTTCCTAGTAAAACTTCATACAATGTGGAGTTTCTCTCAATCTGGTTAATGCATAGTGGTGAGCCAAGACTTGTTTATTTGTGGTCTGTTAAATAAGCTACAGTTGCTAGTTGGCTTCATACTTCAAGCTAAGCAAAACGCATGCTACTCAGGACACATGAATTCCATTTTGCATCATTCTGCATTGAATAACATTTTGGTAACTACTACATACCAGGTGGATATCTACCATGCTTTTGTAACGGAAGCCCAGGAAGACATGGAGAAAGAAGTGGTTGAAGAAGAGAACTAGCTGAAGTCTAGAGTAAAACCAGAACTACAATCCCAGAGCAGTGAGAATCCCGTACCTGCGATGCTGACGGTGGCCTCAGTTTCTGCTCCTTTTGCTCTGAAAGTATACTTCCCTTCATATTCCTCACCCATCTTGTCAATGATCAATTTGTGCACAGCTCCTTGCTTGACAATCTGGATTCCTCTCATATCTGTGATCTGCAGAATTTTTTTTTTTTTAAATACATGTCTCAAAATGTTCTAATCAGAAACAAGAAGCCTATGCATGACTATTAAGCTCAGGTCCAGTGGTGAGATTCAAAAATTTTTACTACAGGTTTTGGTGGGCATGGCATGGTTTGGTGGGTGTGGCAGGGGCAGGATACTGCAAAATTCCCATTTCCACCCCACCCCATTAACCTGCTTTCCAGCTCCGTTCTCGTGTACAGGGCAACAAAAGGAGACCCAGCCAATCAGCTGGGACTTGGGAGGCAGAAAATAGATGGAGGCGGGGCCAGTTAGAGGTGGTATTTGCAGGTTCTCCGAACTACTCAAAATTTCCACTATTGGTTCTCCAGAACTGGTCAGAACCTGCTGAATACCGTCTCTGCTCAGGTCTCCCTGGGACCTATTCAAGTATCCTAATTTAGCATGATGCCAATTTTCCCATGAGAGTCCTTAGCTGAGCCCTGAGATATGGCCATTATGATTCTAGGAGGCCCAGGTTTCTTCACCACTTACCTCTTTGCCATCCTTCAGCCACACACCTTCCACTTTCTCATCATTCAGGACAACACAAAGCTCTGCTGGGTCTCCTGTAGCTGCTTGGACATCTGATAAGCCACTCTTGACTGTAGCAAATCTCTCTAAGGATGGAGGAGGAAAGAAACCAGAACAGGGAAGGCCAAAGATGCATTTATGAATGAGATAAGTATGGGAAAGAATAACTCTCATTAAGCTAGTGCGAATTAATTGAGAGAACACTATCGGTCTTGGTGTATCTCCATACCATTTCTGATTTCTTCCAGGATGTTAGAGTACATAGCAGCTTCGGTGTGAATGAATTCAGTGTGAATGAGCTTACAGAAGCCAGAGTTGGTTTGCTACTGGCACCAGCTTTTTGTCTACATGGAATCACCATAAGAAAACCAACAGCTTTGCTGTCACTCCCCAAGCCAGACAAAAGGAAGCATGCAACAAATCAAGGACTGATGCTGCAACCAGAATCCAGAAATTATGATGCAGAAGTCCTTTGGTCAGAACCAGGGAGGGAGGCCAGATTCAAAGCCCATTCAGACATAAAGTTCTCTGGGGAAAAAGCTTGTCCCAGTTTTACCTGGTGCATATGAACGGGGAGGGTGGGGATAGGAGAACTACATCTGCCACTTAACCCTTGAAGAAGAAGAACTGCCTCTAGCTGACTAACCAAGAGAGATGTTGTTGACTGGAAAAAAACATCTTTCCTTTTTTATTTCAGACAGCTGAGATGCCACGAACAACCGTTATTGTGGATAGAGTGATGAGTTTATATAACCAGTAGACACTAGTTTTCTGTCTTGGTTTCTCTACCCAAAGCTGCATTGTATCCTTCCATGAGCAAATTGGCTAAATTTTCAGGTTTACTTGGAAAAAGAGAATGCACTGGATGTACCTTTCACCTTCACCTTTACCACTAAAAGTTGCAATTTTTATTCAGAAAAGAACATGGGACATAGTTGGGTACTTGTGAAACAAGTAGAGCAGGGGTCGCCAACCTTTTGGACCTCAGGGACCACCAAACTCATAATTTTAAATCCCGTGGACCAGAGACCCTGGGAAAATCCCAAAAAAAAGTCTGCAGAAAAATTCCCCAGCCCGTTTTCCTACCAATCGATCATTCTTTATTTGGGATCGCAGGATACCGTCTCCAGCTCCATTCTCAGTGGGAGAGAGAGAGACAGAGAGACTTTTGGCTTCATGCAAGGAAAGCAGCAAAAGCAGCAGAAGTCTTTCTTTCTCTCCTCCAAACTCCTCCAGAAATGAGTCTTTGTGAGACTTGTTGTGCTGGCACTGGGGGGTGCTCTGGGGGTGAAATTTCTCTGTGGACCACCAACATTTTCTCATGGACCACCCACTGGTTGGTGACCACTGAACTAGAGTCATCTGGAATTTGAGATTGGAAGTCACACAATGCCTTACCAGCCTTCTTCTCCCACCCAAAACGTTATCACTCATAAACAAAGGCAATACACATAGCATCATCTTGAGCTCTTACCTTCCACAGTTACATTACAACTGCTGTAGTATTCTGTAGGGTCACCTTCTTGTGTGGCAACTACCATATATTCTCCCGAGTCACTTAGCTCGGTATCATCTATTATCAATTCTGCCGTCTTCCCTTCACGGGTCATGGTAAATTTCTGAGATTTCCCAATCACCTTCCCGTTCTTCATCCATTTCAACACCACATCTTTACTGGTCAGCTCACATTCCAGGCAAGCTTTGCTTTTCTCCTTGACTCGGACGTTCTTCAGGTTTCTAACAAACTTAATTGGTGTTCCTTAAGAGAGAGAAGACAGGTGTTGGTTGCATTTGGTTCAATGTTATGCAAATCATCCATGGGAATCAAAGATTGGTAGCCACAAGCAACATGTTGATGTACAGAATAGCAAGGAAATGGAAAGGTGCCCAAGGCAATTTATAAAACTATGAATGTGGAATCTTAAAATAGTCTTATTGTCCATAAATACTTTTGCTTTCGCTATAAAATCAAAGGATACTTGTACTCTTTTTTAACAGATCCCCTTAGGGCACCTCCATATTCATTCAGAAAACACTGGTGGTTTTGTAGCAAAAGGATATATATATAGGTATATATATCATAGGTATATATATATATAGGTATATATCAATGTAGTAGCTAATAAGGTTTCCCTAACCGTACTCTACGTTTGTGGCTGCATGTGTGTGTCTAGAGTGTATGTGTTGCTGTGAGAAAATACTCCTTAGAACAAGCTTTAGAACAAATGTCTGTGGAGATTTTCAGTCATCCAGGTCATGGTTGTCCGAAATCTTTCCCTACCATCCAGTCAGAGCTAAAAAAGCTTCTTGAATGAGAAGTGAAACATCTTAAAAAACAAACAAGCAATAAAGTAAAAAATCACCTTTGGGACAAGCCTTAGAACATTTCTGGCACTAGAATGCTGAGCATATATTTGTTTAGCACTGCCCCTGGAGTCTCTTTGAAAACTCTGGTGGATAGCAATAAAGAATTCTGGAATCTCTTGGAAAACAGAAATTTTCTTTGTGAAAAATAAAACCTGTCACCTTTGTATGGCATATTGCTTGGATCCACATGAATTAGCAATATGGAATTAGGACTGTGTTTCAGATGGAGCTGAATCCTGAATCGAACTGATTTGAAAGAGAATATCATCCATCCAAGGCAGAATGGATGCTTCTAATCTTTCCTGTGATGAATAAATACCTCAGCTCAGTTCTGATGCTTATGAACTACAAATGGCTAGGCTGCGTCAAGCACACCAAACAGGGAAAGAAATGTTGCGAAGTTGCCAAAAACTAGAGAATGGAAGGGATTTAGTAATTGTCAGGCTTGTTCTCAGTCCAGAGGCAACCTTGTGAGAAAATGGCAGTAGGGCACTCAAAATAGAGTGACATTTGCAATGGTACCACTAAGACGTGCTTCAGTTGCAGTGTCTTGGACAGCACTGAGGTAGCAGATAATGGAAGGGTAAGGCGGTCAAATTGTGAATGGGATTTGAGGCAATATTGAGAATGCTGATGGAACAAAAAAAAATCTAGAAAGTTTTTTTTTTTAAATAACTAAGATATGTCTATGACACAGAGCTCAAGCAGTGTCCAGTTTGTGAGATGCTGTGTTGATCAGGGAAGTGCTAAGATGTCATAGTTCCCTCTTTCTTGTAAATTAGAGCAACATATCCCTTCTCTAGATCAATGATCCCCAACCTTTTGGTGGATCGGTGGAGGTAGCGATGGTGGCGTTGTTGGTAGAGGGGATGGTTATGCACATGCACGCACATGCACACCGTTTTCAAAAATGCAGCTTCACGTGCATGCACACTTGTCCTTCTGTGGCTTGGTTCCAAATGGGCTGCAGCCCAGCACTGTATCCCAGGCCAGGGGAGGCGGGTTAGGGACCCCTGCTCTACATGCTTGGGACGGTAGAACTTGCATGATCCTGTGCTATAGGAAGATGGCAATCTGTGCCCCACAGTCTTGTTGTATTTAGCCTCTGATCATTTTCTAGTCAAAGAATAAAACAAGAAATGCCATAGAAGTAACTTTCTAGTGGAAATGTTCTCTGGATCCAAGGAAAAAGGCAAATTTCCCGCCAAGAGAGTGAGTCAGGAAAGGCTAAACAAAAAGTTCTCCAGTGATAATGTTTTTCTCTGAACTCCATATACCCCCTTATTCAGTGGAATTGTGGGAAATGAAACAAACTTTTTTTTTAAAAAAAATGGATCATCTCAACATCAGCCTTTCGATGAATGCTGCATTTTATAGCATTGAAATGGAGAGGCATCAGGCGAAAAGTACTTCTATTGCCCATTGAACTTCATAAAATAGGGTTTACAAAAGTTATTTTATCTTCACATCTCCTACCATGTTTTTGTTTCTCTGTTAAGCCATACCTCCATAACTCTATAACTGTCTGGTTTGGTTCTGCAACCCAACAGGACAGACACAGACTTAAGAGGATAATTAGGACTGCAGAAAATAAAATTACTACCAACCTGCCTTCAATCGAGGACCTGTATAATGCTCGAGTCAAAAAGAGGGCTGTGAAAATGTTTACAGACCCTTCACATCCCGGACATAAACTGTTTCAACTCCTTCCCTCAAAACGACTCTATAGAGCACTGCACACCAGAACAACTAGACACAAGAACAGTTTTTTCCAGAAAGCCATCACTCTGCTAAACAAATAATTCCCTCAACACTGTCTAACTATTTACAAAGCCTGTATTACTATTACTGTTAATCTTCTCATCAATCCTTATCACCCATCCCCTCCCACTTGTGATTGTAGGACTGTAACGTGGTTGCTTGTATCATTACAATTTATATTGACTGTTTCCTAATATGTTTTGATTGCTTATTGTACCCTATGACTATCATTAAGTGTTGTACCTTATGATTCTTGACTATTGACAAATTTATCTTTTCTTTGATGTATACGGAGAGCACTTGCACTAAGATAAATTCCTTGTGTGTCCAATCACACTTGGTCAACAAAAAATTCTAATTCTAATTCTAAATACTTTGTTTTACACTACGAATTATTTCACATATTCAGTATTCCATTCTCACTGTCATAATAATAATAATAATAATAATAATAATAATAATAATAATAATAAT